GATTGGTGTTGACCTGAAACGAAATAAATAAATAAATAAATAAAATCTTTGTGGTTTTTGCTCTTCAGATGCATAGGGCGACACGTGCCCATATTCGGGTTTGCGTGTCGGGTCAAAACAAATAAAGCAGCCAATGAGCTGAGGTATCTTTCCACTTTGAACAAACTGTTGGCAAACAGTGCTAAGAACGCCCTACCCGTCGGTAGCGTGTTCAAGAGCTGCAAACTGCAAAGCCTACGACAAAGGGCACATGTGCTATGCAAACGTATTGCCGTGTTGGTGTGCTTGCATAGCTCATCGAAACGGCTCAGATGTTTGAATATTTTTGAACGTGGCATTGTCTGGCAAAGGCACAACAGTTGTTGGTGAACTTGCGACGTTGCCATTGCCTAATGGGCGGAACATGCGCAGCTGTTGGGCTCCTTCTTGGGCTTATCATACTCGGAACCTGCTCCGGAACTTGCTCCAGGGCCTCCGCGGAACTTGCGCTGGAACCTGCTCCAGAACTTGCTCCGGAGCTTGATCTGCTCCTGCTCCGAAATCTTTATCGTGGCTGAAGACACCAAACCTTCGCTGTCCTGGAATAAAGACCAGGGAAAGACAGGCAAGCAGAACGTGGCCATGTCTCTGTCGACGCTTGTGTTCTGTAAAGGGTCTGATACAGGCATTGAAAAAATTCAATGACCTTCCGAAAACTGCAAACCGCACAACAGATCTTGATCAGATTTCTCTCGATTTTGTGGTCGACGACTAAACTGGCAGCAATAGAGGAAAAAGCAAGCAAGTACAGTAACTACAGGGTGATCTGTCAATCTTTATTTTATGAAAGCAAATGTGAAAGCACTATAGTGCCAAATCGACGCCGAGAATTTCCTGAATCCAAAGCAACAAATTAGTGACTTTTTGCATACACTATGTAAATCAGTGCCCTGCACCTCTATTTCGCTGACCGCGACCGTCTGAAGGTTTGTCAGGATCGCGTTGCTTTCGCAGCCTGCAAATGCCGTGCAATTCATTCCGTTTGAAGCTTCATTGCTGTTTTGTCTATCTCGTGTCAGGACCTGGCAGCTTTCTGCTTTTCCAGAAAGTTCCTCAGATTGGAAGACTCTGACTCCTTCAAATTCTGAGTTCCCTCAAGCTTGTAACACCCTCAGGCCCGAACGCAGCTTTCGCTACTGCTGCACTCAGATCCACCGGTGGTGGTGGTGGCCTGAGGAAAGTGGTCTGAGACGTGACAGCAGCACAGGCCTGTAATCTTGGTGCTTGGCAGTGGCAGGTCTTGTCCGCCACTCGACTGTTGGCCTTGCCGCCAGGCTCCCACACAGAAACACAAATTAAAGCTTCATTCATATCCCACCTCTCGAGTTTGATGAGAACCCAAGAGAACCATCAGCCTGACAACTTAACAAATCAAAGCAGCACAATATCAACTTCCACGTCGTTCTCTAGTCACTCTATATGCTGTTTTTTGGAAACGGTGTGCCTGCGAGTGTGCCGGGTTTCCAAGACGCAGGAGTTGCTGCAAGGACCTCGGGCAGGTCGAGAGTGTGCCCAGGTGACAAGTCTGACGCTTGCCACTCCATGTCTCTTCAATCCAGGGCACGAAGACAAACAACCCATGGAACTCAGGTCAATGAGTCAATGAGTCAATAACAGAGTGACCGAGGCATTTTCCAACCTGTGGTGGGATTGGAAAACAAGGTGTTTGGACCCCAAGGGTTAGGTTTGAATCGGTTTCCATGCAGTTTGCTTCAATCTGGCAAGCACTCGCTTCAATCTGGCAAGCACTCGGCATTCTCTCTACTGCAGCTATCTCTAGCTGTTTCTCAACGCCTCTTTACCCAAGCCGAATCAGCTAGGATCCCAGCATGACAGAGGGGTTGGGCACAAGGCCCTACAAACCCCACATTGCCATTGCAGCATCAAACTCTGCGGCCTTTGAACCAAAATAATGCATTCAAAATGCACAAAATCTACAGAAAAAGGGTCAAAATAAAATAAGCTGCAGAACACCCACACGCCGCGGCTGCATAACACAATCCACTGGAGCAAGCTTTTTCGGCCACACAAAAAAGTGGAGGCACTGAAAGTATAGCAGGAAGCCTAGCTATCTACAAGGCCAAAAATGCATTGAAATGGCCTAGCAACAAGACAAGCTTCCACTTGATGAGCGTCGCAAGAGTTCTGCTAATAGGGGACAGCCCTTAGTCTCCACCACAAGAATGTTGAGAACCTCGACTCATCTCCAAACAAGTGCCCACTTGCTTCAACCTAAGCCATTTTCAAAAAATGCACAACAACATGCAGGCAAAGCAGCACTAGTACCCTTGAACATTCTTCGAGATCCTGTCTGGGAAGGCCTCGTCCATCCTGAGCGCACGAAGTCTGCTGTTCAGCACCCAGTGCCGCAGTGCTTGAGAATCTCTGAGGAACCAACGCTCTGTCTGCCCAGTATCGTATCGTGTCATCAATCTGAATCAAGTCCAACTCCTGCACGGGAGCAAGGAGGGGCTGTGCACATGTTCTGGTCACCCAACAGGCTCCTCAATATATGATGCGAGCTTGGGACCGTGCAGCATTTGGCAATGGCAAGTTCTAAAATGAGAGCATATCTGTGCAAAGCTCAAACGCTGCCCGCATTGCCGCACGGCCACCCTTTTCCACGCACCACTCCTGTTCAAAGACCAATTTGACAGAAACCAGGAGTTCCCTCTCTGCACGGCGAACATCATCCTTACTTTCACAACACAAGTGAACATGTTCATCAGCCCCGGCGTTATCCGCCAGCCAATGCCACTTTTTGTGATAATGGTCCATGGCTGATTGGGAACATTATGAAGCTTGGTTGACTGTTTCACCAGTGAAGACCTGCCAACTGAGCAGGGTGCTGCTGCCTTGGCTAGATCGCAATCAGGTCGAGATCCAGCAGCCTGCGCACGATCAAAAATGCTCTTTGAAAGCATCCAGAATGGCAGCCAAACAAACTGAGACAGGTGCAACTGCGCTATGCCGTAAATGCTGTGCTCATAGATCTGCTGTGCGCTGAGCGCTGGTTTTCCTATGGCTGCACTCAATGTCCTCTCCGAGTCCCAGCTCCGATCGCCGATCGCCCGCAATTCTGCGGCGAAGCTTCTGACTTGTGCATCATCTGGCCAACTTCTGAAAACATCCGCAGGCAGCGCCAATGCAACAGTGGACGGCTGACACTTCACCCTCAGACGCAATTCTATACGTATATATTATGTGGGCCCTCGGACATTTTGGGTCCCCCTGGAACTTTATAGTTTCTATGATGTGTTTGCTCACTAGATGTGTTCTTTGCTGTTCATGTATGGTAGTGGTATATAGTGGTTTCACTCGTGTATATATATATATATATTTGTTATTTATATGATATGTTCCCCTTCTACTTGGGCAAGTGGTGCAATACACAGATCTGACAGCTTGTTTGCCACGTTCCTTCTGACAACTTTGATATGTTATTCCTTCTTGTTGTGTATTCAATTATAACACCAACTGTCACTTGTAGAATCGTCCCTTTTATGTTCACATTGACATTGCTTAAATAATAGGAAATATGCTTCAATAAATATTAAACACGACAGAAGAACAGGCTATAATAAGGAATCCAAACAATTCCTCATTGCCCCTTGAAGAAAGAGATCCTTTCCAAGAATTTCTGTGATAAAAAAAAGTAGCTTGTGCACTGACTTTTTCCTTTCCAAAGATTCTTTTGTTTAAACGTTTTTCTGATGCATCCATATTTTGAATGTGTATTCTTAGTAAACGCATGCCTGTATAACATCCTTATTCCTCATGAATATTATGTACCAGGGGCTGCCAAAAATATCTTCATGGAAGACACCTCCATAATTTGTCAAAAAATGTCCGGTTATTTAATGGTCATGGTTCTTTACAAAGACAATGGATCTAAACACATCCATGTCAAAGGAACTCATTGTATATAGTTGACTTTGGGAGGCTGAAAGTTACCCTAAACACAATTTATAATTTACATGGGCTCTACCAATTAGTCAAGCAGGAGCTCGCAATTTCAATCATTGGCTTCCTTTTTTAACAATAGCGCCGTTCATGAAGGTTATTAAGAATGATTCAAGAACAAAGTGCGATTGCCTTTATTTGTGCTACAATGGTTTGGGCTTCATAGTCACTACAACTTTCCAAAATACCTACAATACACCAAAAAGGTATGTATATAGGGGTAGGTAGATTAAATTTTTATATATATATGTGTGTGTGTGATACATCTGTGTGGAATCTGTTGAGCCTAGGACAACAGGCAGAAAAGAACATGTCCAAAACCAACGCGAAACCAGATAGACTAGGGATGATTTTGGACACGTTTGTTGCATTTGTGTTTTCTCGCTGTAAATTGTTCCTGCATTGGGGACCAACCAAGTTGTGCCTCGGTGTCAGATCACTGCAAAGAGGAAAGAAAGAAGGAACACGTTTGTTGCAGTTTTTCAATTTGTATGTATCCTTCACTTTGTATGTTTGCTCAATGCAGCTGCTTCAGCATCTGCATCTACTCTACTCTATAATGCTATTTATATATATATATGGGTGCGCCATTTGTCTATTGTCTCTTATGGTTTACAGGGAGCCCCGAAACGCACGCGCCCATATATATATATATATAAACATATATATGTTCTCTGCACCAGTCCCCAAACGAGTGCATTTACTAGTTACTAGTGACAACAATGGTGCTGCCAGTGCGCACAGAGTCCGTCTGAACGCTGCTCGTCTTCAGTCGACTTGAAATTAAGTCGGCATGGTTGAATCAAGTTGGATCGAAACAATATGATTTTGAGCATGCAGCTATAAAACTCTCAACTCACGTGAAATCAGGACCCACTTTGGGGGCCTTGAAGCCAAGGGTGCTGAAGGATATTGCTGGCATCTGGTCTCTTGCTTGGATCCCCTGCCAGAAGCAGTGTCAGCAAGTCCTTGGAGCTTACAAAGCTCAGTGCAAATCTCTACGCCACAACTTTGGAGCAAGCATTGGTCAACGCCACTGAGGTCATGGCCTTGGCCTCATCTGACAACCTCAAAGAAAAATGAAATCCAAAAGGCCGAAAGCTTTTCCCCTCATGAAATGTCCTGAAACCTCATGAATGTGGGCCAAGCAGCAATTCGTATGACTCAGGTTTGTAGAATCTGCCCTGCTCCCTAGCCTCGATGCCAGGGCGAGTCTGCGCGTCATCATGGAAGGGCGGGCTTCGCACCAGCATCACGTAGAGGGTACAACCGAGGCGCCAAATGTCAGTAGCTACAGTTGGCGCCGCTGTGGGTGAAGCGCCCAGTTCCGGAGGCATATACCTGTCGTAAACAACGCAAGCTCGTTTCTCAGTTGTCTCACTCTCCTTGATGAAGTCATTGAAGCAGGAGCAACCAAAATCAATGAGCTTCAGGTGTGCGGTGCCACAATCAATACTACCCAGGACCATTGCATTCTCAGGCTTCACGTCACAATGAATCACTTTGTTGTTGTGCAAGTGCTGCAAGCCTTCCACAAGCTCGCGAAAGAGTGGCTGAGCCTGCTCCTCTGTAAGCACTCGAGCGCAAACCACATCAAAAAGGTCCTTTCCGGCTAAAAGTTCCATCAAGACGAAGATCGTCGTCTCTGACTCTATAACGCGCTTGTAACTCACTATCCGAGGGTGCTTTCCAAGCAAAACTCGATGAGCGTAAAGATCATGCATGATCGATCTCCTTTGGCTCGGGTTGCTCATTGTGTACATCTTGAGTGCGAACTCCTCGCCTGTCTCGAGCTCTTTGCAGCGATATGCGCTATCACGTCCTTCACCAATTTTGTGCCGGGTAGACGTCTCGAAAAGCAGAAGTTTGCCATCCTCGATGGTTCCGAATGTGATAGTGTCCTGAGAAAGCATGAGTCTGGGGGGGGCATCGCTGTCCCAAACAGTTTGATCCGAGATGCGAGGCAAAAGCCAACATGGGTCTTGTGGCAAAAGCCTTGCTGCGCCCCTTCGTTGTCAAAACGTTTGGTCCCAGTGCCGCTGAAGGCATCCAAACCTGAGCTCAGCAGTGCATGCAATGCTAGGGGAGCACACTACTTTTACGGAGTCATGGCCAAAATGGGTCCAAATGTCGCGCAAAGTGAGATCTGCAACCGCCGAGAAGCCCTTGATGCAGGTCATCATGCTAGCCATTTTGGACTTGACATTGTTGGCCTGTCTCATGGCCTCGTTGACACTTCGGACTCTGTGACTGTGACTCTTGGAGCTTTGCTACTCTGAAAGATCACAGGTTTACGCCTCTTCAGCAGCAGCTTGCCACTTTGACACTTCTGCCTGCAATTGATCCGTTGCAGCTCTCTGCTGCTCTGTGACCTCCTCCAAGCGTGTTGACAATCCTGAAGATGAAAGTGCTGCGGTTTTAGCACTACCTTCATGTTCATTGCGGCTGTCAATGCAAAAAGCTTCTCTTGAACTCAGTCGGAGAAGCTTGCATCAAAATAACCTTCCGCGTCCTTGCATGTAGTAACTTAAGGCTTAATCATTGCTATATATAACATTATAGCACCTTATCTTGCGTAACTTACCTAGAACTTAGCTACCGGACCTTACCCCTGACTCTATAGGTGTATCATGGTGTATCCTGATTTTACCTTGTCTCTTTCCCCCGTTGCAGATGAGGCTCTGCTGAGCTCCGACAACCGATCCTCACCTCCGCTGGTAGGAGATTCCTTCTCAATTTCCTTGATGCTTTGCTCAAGCTTGGTACGTTCATCAGACAAGTCCCCAAGTTGTTTGTTGAGCTTGCCACACTTGGACTGCATTCGGTGGAATTGCACGGCTCCACGGAAGGAGCTTTGGAGCCAGCGCTTTTCCAGCACATCTGACTGCCCAACAATATAATATAAGCCAACTCCGGCAACCTCGGATTGAAGGCTGTATGCATCCAACTGCTTCCGTCTGTGGAAGGTAAGCGCAAAGAGATCATGGAAGCTTGTCGAAAAGATTGTGAAACATGTGGGTCTGCCAGCCGAGCCGTGGCAAAGGAGGTGAGTGCATAAAGCCGGAGTCCAGACACAAAAAAGTGAAAAGCCACGCAGGGCGCAAAGGAGAAGGACATCAAGCAGCAGTTTTGCAAGAGGAATGCACGGTTGGGTGCTTGAAACATCTATGACCACAAAACCAATGAAAATGTCCAAGGCAACAAACATCACGATTCTGACTGGCAAAACCACATCTACCGCCACCACTTTCCAATGGATTCTTGAAGGAAGTGTACAACACCACAGGCTGATGAATCCAGACTGGAACGCAAATGCTGCCTCAGGAGTTCCAAACAATGAGCACCTGAACTATGTAAATGTGGGGCAGTTGAAACCACACAGCAGGAACAAAAGCAAGAAAAGTGCAAGTGTGGATGCGAAAGGCGCCAATGCATTCTATGCTGGGGGTATGATATGAAAACATGACAGCACGATTAAGTTAGAAGTTGATCAGCTTTAAAGGGTCTTGAAGGCTGCCCGTGCATCAGACCCCTGGGAGCATTGCACAATTATCATCAGGCCCCAGACTACACAGACAGGACAAAAGTTGACAACAAGCTTGTAAATTCAGGACCTGCAACCCTTCCCCTTCATCTTGCACAGAGCAATGTCCACCCCGAAGCAAATTTACAGTCTTATGAATTTAGTTCAGGGTGGTCCTCCGCGGGAATTCTATTGGGAAGGACAGAAAGGTGTCAATGAGATTCTGGAGGGAAGTTGTTAACAAACTTTCTGAAGAGTACTGGTACTAAATCGAATGCCTCTACGTTTGGACTTTGCCAAATATTTCTTAAATACACAATTGTAACAAGCCAGTCCAGTCCTTTAAAGAATTCAAGGAACAGCCCGTCCGGGATGCACAGACAGGACAAAAGTTGACAACAAGCTTATGAATACATAACTTACATAACCTCCAACCCTTTCCCCTTAGAACCCCACAGGGAATCACAGTGGAATTCCGGCGGAACAATTTCCACCCCAAAGTAAATCTACATATATATAGTATTTAGTTCGGGGTGGAAAATACTTTTTCGGAATTCCATTGCAAAACAGATGTCAATGAGATTCTGGAGGGAAGCTGTTACCAAACTTTCTTCCTCCTGAAGTATGTAGCCACAAGACGCTCCCTTCACAACCTTATATATACGTTTTTGAGAAATAGCCTGATGAGCAAGACACTGTACAAAGGATCAGGTCCACCATCCAGCTGTTTCCTGCTTGCGCTGCCATCTTGACGCGCTCCGAAACCGCTGGCAGTCCAGATACGATGCTCAATATGCGAGTCAGCTCCACATCATCGAAGCCATCACCTTCATTGTCCACGCGACCAAACATGCGGCCCACTTGGTCCTGTCTACATCCAGACAAACCATTGCGGCGAAATGCTCGCAGAATGCTAAGCTATGAATCCGGTGCCACATGCCACTCCAGTACATACTCTCCTGGGACACGTCCACCCCGTTGGCTTGCAGCAAAGACGCCAGCTCCTCAAACACGTGGAAAAAACAAAAGAAAAGGAGGGTTGAACTTTGCACCTCAGTCCCCATCTCACCACCCGTGGCCCGGTCCTTGGATGAAAGGTGGTCATCATGCCCAGAATCGAACGCTGCCATGAGGTCATGGGTCCTCCTGTGTTCTTGGACCTGCACAGGTCGACTAAGTGACGTTGCCTTATCCCTCAGGACCTCAAAGCGATCATAAAGTTCCAGATCAAGCCGCAACAGCTTCAGCTACAAAAGTAGGGAATGGGCGGTAGTCACTCGTAGTCAAGGAGGGTAAACAATTATGTTAAAGCCAAAGCGGGCGCCCTGAACATTGCAAGAAAGAGAGTCTGTTGTAAATAGATTTGTGGATGTGTCTGAGTCAACCAAACGTTGTGCATAGAGAATGAAATATCCGTGCAAACTACCTTGCTCTTTTACCTTTGTCTGAACATGGGATTGTGCGCAAAACACAAGGAACTAGCCGTCCCCCTTTCTTTTGTGAAAGAACCTGATGTGCCTGATGCAATATAGCCCTGGCGACGCACACTCCAAAAACCACAAGAGCTGCAATCTTGCGAGGTTTCTTCATGCCGCGAGACACCTTGGTTTGCAAACAAGAACATGAACAAATATATATATATATGCAAGACAACAACAGTATCGATATCATTCACAGCTCACTACTTACTACTTACAGCACCTTTTGCCGATGCAGTCTGGCAGCTTCCTTGGAGCTGGACATGAGTCTTCTTCTGGCTGGAGAGAGGTCTTTGGGGGAGTTTGATTCTGTGCCAGACAAGCCAGACATGGAGGAAAAAATCCTCCGCCGCAAAGGAGAGACATCTCCAGAATCTACCATAGCTACACAAACCTGGCTGCTCGATTGAACAAATGCTGCAGGGGCAAAGACAGCCCTGACATTTGCCCGATAAGGCACCAAAAAAAAACTCCAACGTCGCTTCCTCGTCTTTGGCGTTTGTTGTTTCGACTTGAACTTGAACCTGTCATGATTCTAATCTAACAGGTCCTTCTTTGGACTCTTTCAGATTCATGCTAAGAACAAATTCGAATCGCGCTGCTTGTGCGCTGCGCCTATTCAACGGAATCTTTGGCCCGCAGCAAAGCAGACAACAACAGTTCTACAAATCAAATGTGAAATCGGAGGGCTGTCCTTTTTCTGTCCAGTATTCCCCGTCTATTACCCTTCCCATCATATTCACACCTTTCGTAAGGTGGCGGTGGTCGGCTTCTTTTCGCTGTTCCTCAAGTCCTTTTGTTGCAAACGGTTGGGTGTGTCCAACTTCGGATGGCTTGTATATAAAGCACACACAAAGCCCTCCGACGGTGGCGTCATGAACTTTCAAGGCAAATGAATCCCAAAGAATAAAAAACAATAAAACAAAAGCAAGCAAAACACAAGCGCAAGAAAGCAGGACCGTGTCCAGCAGGTCTACAAGTGACAATCAATCTAAAAGGGCCCTGATGCTTCAACAATCTTGCCCGTGCATGTGCCAAGTAAATGCTTCGCTCAACCTAGTTGTTGATCTGACTTCTTTAGCCACAGGTGTGAGGGTGAAACATGACTCGTATGTGGTGAGAGGATGCGAGGTGCAACATGCTTGACTGTTTGATGTTGTGCTTCCATTCAATTGCGCCGGATGTGCATGTCGGAGTAGTGCCATATCAGCGAGGTGAAAAAATCGCTGTTTGTGAATCGCACTTTGAACGTGGAACGTGCTTGCAAGCTGTGTCCTTAAGTGTGATTACGCAATGAAGCCATTGCGCTGTTTGGTGTTGGACGCATCGTTCTACGCCACTGCGACGATACGCTAGTCGATACTCTAAACCTTAAACCTAAACCCTGAACCCTTGGTGTATCGGTGCAGTTCTGTGTATTGGCGTATCTGTGTATCGGTGTATCGGTGCGAACGCGATAAAATCACACACTTTGCAGCAGAGCGTCCTGAGTTCAAAAACATTTTGTGCAAAACTAATCGGTGATGCTGTGCTTGTTTTGTTATATAGTTATGATGAGTGTTGTGCTATATTCCTCTTGGATGGATTTTGGCTTCGTCTAGAAGCCCCCATCCTCCACACCCACACCGTATCTCTTCGTCCTCCTCTTGGTCCTCTTCGTCCTCCTGTTCGTCTTGCTTGTCCTTTTTTGTCCTCGTCCTCTTGGAAAAGCTCTGCGATGTTCAGGTAATAACGTGTTGGCGAACTTGCCGGGCCTAGGACATAGTTGGTCCTCTTCGTCTTGTTTGTCCACTTTGTCATCGTCCTTCTGTCCAATATGCTGGGCTACCGCTAGGCTTCAACCAGCGATCTTGTCCCAGAACTGTTCTATCTTTTTGTCGCCAGTTTCGACAAGATAAATGCTTCTCAGTTTCGCCATATAATGCTCATACTGAGACATGCATTGCTGCATGGCTTAACTTGTCATACAAGGATATGGCTGTGGACATCACCACGGCCTCCCGGCCACCCCGCCTCTCGGCTAGTGAGGGGCCGATGGGGTTGCCGGAGGCTTTTAGACACACTTGAGCTCCATTCTTTGATGCCAACTCTCCGGCCTCTATGGCATCAAAGCGCTCCAGCCATCTGTCACACTCAGCCATGGCAGCTTGGCACACCAAGATCTGAGACACAATGGATTGCCATGAACAAGCTGTTTGCAAATGCAATTTGCTGGAATCCGGAACCTCGTTGTTTCGGGAAATGCGAAAGTTGCAGTTGTACCAGAAACGCTCGACATAGACCTCCGCAAGTGTGCAAAGAACTATATGTGTACATGTATAGAATTATCATAATCCAACGTTGAGACAATAGCATCACACAGCATCCCGTCTCTGCCGAAATCAAGTCAAGATAAGAAGAAAATGACACAGTGGCAAAGTGCGTTCAAAGTCTCAGCATCACACCGCATCCAGAAGGAAAGAATCGGTCCCACCACAAGTTTGGAAGCGCAACACATGGGTCATCTGGCGTCAAGTGATGATGAGCACACTGAAAATGCAGCTTGCTCAACACTGTTGCAGGAGAGGGCCTTTTCAAGCTCAGATTTCTTCTCCCATTCATCAATCTCCCTGGGCGCCAAGATTCCTTGGATGTCAATCCGCTATTGCCCATGCACACAAGTGATAAAGATACAGTAACTCAATCTGCAAAGTGTCCGTCTGAAAGGCTGAAAGTAAAGCTCAAGGGTGCATCACTCAAGCCCAGGTCCTTGGATTGCGTAAGACGCAGTCACGTCAGCTGGATTGACAATGTGACCAGGTGTGGGCATGTCCTCCAGGCAACTTTCCTTGATGCCCGCAAAATCGTCCTGCGCGACCAAGTCTTTGCAGAAGGCACACGGAAAATCTCAAAGCATTCAACAGAAGCCAGAGCGCGATGCGGAGCATGTCTCAGTCTCCTCATCGTCCACTGGAGCAATAGAAAGCTGCATTGCAGACTGACAGGCAGCACCGAAAGTCGTGAAACACTTATGAATGATCTCCAGCCTGATTCCAAATCTTACAGCCAAAAAATGATAAAAAAAATGCGCATTCAGCTTAAGTTTATGTGTGTCAACTTGTGTCAACATTGTCATGAATGGGGTTGCAAAAACCCCGGTTCCATGGTTCGACAGCTGGCACAGCATCCTACTTGGTCTGCTTGCTCTCTGCCTCAGCAAGTGTGCCTTGAAGCCAAGTGGGCCTGTGACTGTGCAACCAAGGAATGGCGAAGCGTTCATCCACAAACTGAAACTTGGCCAAAAAAAATCTCATCGTCCCCGATGGCAACATTCACACAGGCTCAATTTCGATGCCCAAGGGCCACGCACGAACCCATACCGTTCCAAGTAACCACCTGCATGAGGTTGAGGCCTGAGAAAAGTACACTTAGAAGCCGAAAAGATTGTAGGCGCTGAAGCCTGAGATCCCAGCAAGTAGCTGATAGTCAACTCAGTTCCTACCTCAAAGCATTGGTGTTCGAAATAGAATGCCTCTGAATTCGTGACACGAAGCACGCTTTCCGCCTCAATGGTTTCGAGGGCTATGACTTTGATGCCCAACTTGGTGGCGAGGCTCATGTTCCAAAACCAAGATTGAGCGCATCATGCTATGGAGTACAATCAATGGGAGTCGCAATCACCCAAGAATGATGCACCGGCAATTCATCATTGCAATTGTCCATCGAGGCATGTACCAGCTTCTCCGGGCCCCGGCCACCCAGGCCGAGCACGGCACCCTCCTCCAGCTAAATAAAGTCTACAGTATACTGTATAGATTCCAAGTGGGGTTGGAGTGTTGTTGGCAAAAAGGATCATTTTGAGCACCTTCCCATAGTTCAGCTCTAACTTCAAGACCGGATCTTCTGCAGCCTTGACCAAAACCGTCAACTCAAAGAGGCCCGGATCCGAGTAGCATTGCTTTCAAACCACAAGTCGCGCAACGCCTGCAGTAGATCCAACCCCATGACCAGCAATGGCCTGGGCAGTAGTCACATGAATCAATGTCTAGGTTGTGCCTCGGACCACCCAGCCTCTCCTCCCTGTCTTCAATGACAGATCTAGACCTTTCGCAAAGGCTGCAGAAGCAAGCAATGCAAGAGCATCAGGAATCAGTACATCCGGTCAAACCGCATACCGGGGCCAAGGCATCACCAGGGCCAACGTATCTGTCCAATCCTGTGATGTCATCACTGTACCATACAGCCTCATGCATGATGCACCTGTCCTCAAAGGAAGCGCTTCCTTGAAGCTGCTCCAGGTCATCTCTGGCCTAAGCAAGGCCGCATGGAACACCGACCAAACAACACGCAACGCCGCAACACCATCCTTTGGCCCAAGTCATGCCAACCTGCAGAGCTAGGCCAGACATCTGTCCGCCACAGGTAGTGGAGCTCCTGCACTGCTGGCTTTCTGTTTGCTCGATCCTTTTTGTTGTGGCATGTTTTGGCTCACCCAGACATGGAGATTCCGATTCCACCACATGTGTTTTCGACTACAGCAAAAGCAACTGGAACAAAAGCAACATAAAGGTGCCAAAGACGACGGCAAGTGCGATCAGTCCAGATATACTTTGCCAGCTGCGGGTCGTTGAGGAGCAATTTCAGCCTGGTCGCTTTCAACTCTCTAACCAGCAACAAATTCAGACCCATTTCAGCAGAGAGAGAGAGAGAGCTTCTACTTGCAGCAGGTTCATCATTCACGACGTCAGTCTTGGCCCATCATCCATCGTCGAACCCCCTGTAGAAAAAATCACGTTTGAAATAAATCAGGATCATCATTATTCAGGTGTGTCGGTCGCACCCTCACTGCCACAATATACGTTCGTGCTAGCACCATTTACATAAAGCATAGACCAATGGAGAAGCATGCATCTATACGGACGTATTATAAATGTATTTACAAATATGCATATATACCTAGTACATATATAAGTTGCAAGAACCATGTCTGAGGCAAGTGGTGCTAAGTAAGAAGGCTGTCTGGGAGCTGAGCACTTGGAGCTTGGACACGAAGCAAAGGGCCCATTTGACACAGCACATTCAAAGCTGCACAGCAATTGACTTGCTAAGCCAATGAACGTGCTCTTGCTAAGCCAATGAACGTGCTCTTCATTGCGGATTAAGGTGTTGGGTTGTCCATAGATGTGATGCAAGTCTCAATGGTTTACTGTGTACAGACAATGAATCAATTCGTTGCACATCGGACTCCACAAGCATACAACGCGTCAAAAATGACCGTGTTGGGTCATGTTTTTGGTGGAATTAGATTGGGTAAGGGCGTAGCCTACCGTTAGGGTGTCTGGGAGAGGGTGGGCTACGGCTGGAGGGATCTGCCTAGCAAACAGCCAACAAGCAAACCGAGTTGTCAAAGAAAAATTACAAAGAAGAAGGAGGAGAAAAAGAAGAAGAAAGGACCATACAGGGAACCGCAGCGCAAGGATTGCAAGAACACGTGGAACACACTAAAAAAAGCCTGTGGTCCGGACGGGTGTGTATCTGGAGGGCTGACCCCTGTCTCAAACCAGTCTTTCCATGGGCCTGGCCTAGGCAACCATCACACCATCACAAAAACATGTCTGGCTCTGGCCTTGTTTCACGCATTTTTTCAACCTCCAGAGTTGGTGCAGTGTGGTGCGACATCGCAAGGGCCATGCGTGTTGCACCACTTTTCATGACCCAAATGTTGACAGGAATGAGCTATTGCTGGACTATTGCGAGACACTTCATGTTTTGGCCATTGTCTTCACATGATGAACATCAAAGCCCGTCGTGCTGCTCATGTAGACGTCCCACTAACCTTACACCTGCGAATATGCCCACATCGAGTCGCATCAAGGGCCTTTTGAAGCTTCCCTTTCCTGGCTCTCGTGCCCAGCCCCTAACTTTTGATCAATACATCTATCTATTTTACAACGATTCTGCCATTGGCAGACTGCGGGTGAAACATAATAGCTGTCAACATCGGTGGGCTTCGGGTAAAGCATCCTCCAAGCAAATGCCTATGACGGCATTGCACAAAGACTCTTCAACGTATTTATCATGCAACTAAGCACTAGAAGACCCTATGGGATCCTATTGGCTACGACCGCCGCAAGCTTCCGCACTGCATCAGATTGAGCAGGAGGTGTGGTGCAGCTACGGAGGTGCTCAAAGGCTGCCAAACTTTGGACCTTACGTTCGAGCTTGGCGTTCCTGCATTGCGCACTGCGCTCAATTCGGACACGTTCATTCCGTGTGCATGTGCTATGCAACTACAATCAACCACATAAGTATGTATGTATCTAAATATCTTTGTGTGTTCATTGCTTATATGTTTGCCGGTTTGTGTGCATGCATGTGTGTGTGTGTAATGAAGAGTTGTTCAGTTCTCATTTGAAGGGCAGCCCATGGATGATTATCAATCCTAAACTACCAACGCTGGCCTCATTAGTCCAGAAGTGCAAGCAGTATGGTCAATGGCCACTTCAAATTGCAGTCAAGGATCTGCACTGAAAAACCTGACAAGTTGTTCAGAGGGGCGATATTCCAAACACGACTAAAAACAACCTGGAGCCAAAAGCAGCCTGGAGGACGCTGGAAAATCAGCAAAAACTCGGACTTCTTCAATCTATCCAAGCAACGGACTGGACAATCTCTCCCCAGCAGACCTGAGCTTCAAAAGTGCAAGCATCCAATCACTCAGCAAAACCAAAACAAGTATCATCCACGCAACGTTGGGGATGACCTTCTTGAAGCAGCTGCCTGAAATCACGAGTGCTCTAAAGCCCATTTAAGCCCAATGGTGGTGGATCAAATTAGGTAAAGCTCTAAATTGTAGATACAGCATGCTTATAACTTTCATGACAGCCTCTCTCTCTCTCTCTCAGCCCAACTGCCATGTGCAGGTGGAAAGCTTGGTATCTGACAGAGGGCCGCTCCCTGTGTGAGACAGCCACGGGCAAATGTCGTCGCGGAGAACTTGACGCAACGGTGGTCGAAGTCCTTGCACAGTTTTACCAAACTAGTCAAGTTACGTTATTGATTTTACTACCGCACACCTCAGCTTGGTGATAGAGTTACAGTGTACACTGCCCTCGTCTGTGCCTGCACCTGCCTGTGCTTTAAAGGCATGTAATCATGTATCTCGTGTCAGTAGCCCTGCTGAGGCATAGGCTGCGTCGGAGCTACACCAATGCAGCAGTCTTGCAGCTGTCGAGTCACAGCAGCCAGCTGCGCCCGTTGCAGTCGAGGTGAGCGAGGAGTGCTCGCTGCAGAGGCAAAGTCTTCACGAGCTTGGCTGACCAGCTGCATTGCGGTCAGCTCTAGTCTCAGCTGCTCCCTCTCTACCATCGCTTGATCTCGTTCAAACATCATCTCTTGAAGCCGATTCTCGTCACTGTGGACAGGCTTGCTCAAGACTTCGCTGCGTTGGCAAAACCTCTCTGTCTCAAAGATCCACTCTTGTTCGGTGGTGATTTGTACCTCCAGCTGCTTCACACGCGCTTGACTCAAGGCACACAGCCTCTTGGCTTCCACCAGTTCAGAGCGAAGTTCAGCAATTTCCTTCCTCAACTTGGTCTCTACGTTACACTTCTTTGTGCAAGTCACCCATGCTTCAAAGCATGCCTTCAAGAGTGCCACTGCGAATTCATCCAAAAGCACACCCTCCGAAAGACGCCGCAGCAACCCTGCAGCCATGGCCGTTGTGCAGCATACATAGTTTTAACGGTTCTTAAAGCATCAAATTGATTCTGAAGCTCCCCCAAGGGACGGTTCAGTGGGAGTGCTGGGTCAATTCGCTCCAACATGTATTTGGAAGATGGAAATATAACGCCAAGTCTAATCATCAGTATATATATATATAGAAGTCGCCCACCTCCTTCCAGCAGTGAAGGCCGAATTACTGACGCTGCCGCTTGTTCTGTGTATGCATTGTGCCTTGTACGTTGTGCTATGAATCCCCGTGATCAGACTTTCACAAGGAGTCGACCGGCGAGAATGTCAAGAAGCACGTGTCAAAACCAGGCTGTGGAAGGAATGGTCCAGCGGCCCAGCGCGATTGTTCATCTGAGAATGCAACTGCGGCGAACGGCTGGCTTTCAGAACCTCAGCAGCATGTTTTACGGGCCCCAATCGCAAGCACAAGTCAGTGACAAAAAAAGTCCAAGCCACGCGAGCCAGAACCCTGTTTTTTCATGCTGCTGATTCCACCATGCGGGCCTGAAACGCAAGGGCTCCAATGTCTCCGGACTCCAGCTTGCTGGACACGTCCTTCGGACAACACACATAAAGCAAAGCCACAGGAGGAGAAAGCAAGAACCGAACGACACACCCAATCAAGGCCGAGGCTGGGTTTGGTTTCATGATGGTGGTGTTGTCAAAGGTGAGTTCGCAAATCTCATCTCCTTCTTCAAACCTCATCTTTGGGCTTCAGGCACTGGACAAGAGGTTTTGGCAACTCAGGCCGCGGCGACTCCTTCGCAAAGAGCCCAAGTCCATCGCCCGCTCGGCTCGCTCGCACCTCAGCAACCTGAGGGCCAAAGTACAGAAGAATCACAGCATTCCTGGTAGCTTCTTGTTCCTAGTAGGTAGGCCAGGAGCTACTAGTAGCGTCCTTGCTCCTAGTAGCGCTGCCAGGAGCCCCTAGTAGTGTCCTTGCTCGATGCCAGGAGCTGCTAGTAGCGTCCTTGCTCGATGCCAGGAGCTACTAGTAGCGTCCTTGCTCCTAGTAGCGATGCCAGGAGCCCCTAGTAGCGTCTTTGCTCCTAGTAGCGATGCCCTTTGCTCCTAGTAGAAAAGTCAGAGACAGCTTTGGCAGCGTCTCATTACTCATTGCGCGCCTTTGCAATGAGAGGGCACCCCTGAGACAGGACTGATGCCTGAGACCCAAGGAAGGTTTGGAGTCTGAAAGTGGTTGCTACGTGGCTGTGCGGATTCTACTTTGACTTTTGGATCCATTGTCACCAACCAAAGCTCCACAAAAAAGAAACACCCCTCGGCATGTAACACAACTTTTATTGCTTTGTGCATCTTTGTGCGATCTTTGCGCGATCCACCAGCACAGGGGTTGCTATGGAAATCGTTGGCGCTGCAAGAACTTCTGAGTCCGTAGCCATTGACTCAGCAGTTGCAGCTCGGAGAGCAACGTTGTGCCTTTCCGACACAAAACTGCCAAGAAGGTCCAGGTACTGCTTGCCCAATCGGTCCTTCGGCATCTCGCCACTCGCCTCTGTCCTGCCCGTCCTGGGGGGTTCTATTGGAACTATTTAGAGACAGCCGAATCCATGAGGCCCCCTGCCTGCAAAGCTGCAGGCCACAGGCAGTACCAACCAAGTCTGGCTCACCAATGGTCTGGCAGGGCAACATGGCGGGCAGCCTTTGGTGCTTTTGGACTGGCTGAAGGAACAGCGCGGTGCCTCCTCCGGGAACTCTGCCAGGGCATTGCATGCTCCCGGCCAGTTTCTGAGACAACCTCAAGGGCCACACTAAAAATAATGCCCGGAGCTACTAGTAGCACTACTAGTAGCTTCTTGTTCCTGGTAGCGATGCCCTTTGTTACTAGTCGCTTCATGTCGCTTCTAGCTACTAGTAGCTACGACGCGAAGCCTTTAGACCTTTGGACCTTGAACTTCAACGCTGCGCTTCACCAAGGAGGGCACTCTGCGGGGAGGCTGTCGTGCAGACGCAGGCACAGCTGAATCAGCCAATGACGGGGCCTTGTCAAATGTACCACAAGGGATGATGAAAAATGCTGCTTCTTCAGGGACGGGTACCTTCCCCGCTTTAGTGTCGAGTCTTTCAGTCCAGCGCTGAGTGCCTTGCCAGCGTCGGAATAAGCAGCGACATACTAACTAACTACATCCAAACAGGATTTGGGATATCTGTGAGCTGCGGTGAGACAGGAGATACATCCCCTCACTAAACTCATACCGAGTCAATTCTGAGCGTCAGCGTCCCGTGCATGCTGCAAAAATGGAATCGAGAACAATGAAAAGAAATTCAGAATTGTGTTGTATTGCCAGGTGTTTCAAACCTTGGCTCTGCATGGCACAACACCACGATCCTCACACTAGATACGAGTGACTGACACGTGCATGACCACAGGGAGCCCTACTATACACTTCAGCTTGCAGAAACGCTGCATCAGCAGCACGTTGAAGTTTTAAGTGAGCGATGTATGCCTGTTTGCACCTGCTTGCAAGTGAGTGGTCATTTCTACACCCCCGATGCTAGCGTGGTCCTTTTGCCTTGCGCACGCAAGTTGCCTAAACCAGCAGCTCTCCTCATGGCTGAAGCAGCTTCACTGGCAGGGGGCTATCACCTAAGCGTTTCAAATGGAGCCAGCAACTGGCACTTAGAGGTGTCAAATCATCTGCAACGGACCCTCAAGTGGAACAGCGGCGAGCCCTCTTCTCGTTCGGCATTTGATTCCAAACAGTTGCCCAGGATTTCGAAGCCCCTCAAGTTCGGCAACTGCCAAACCGCTGTGGGAATGCAAGTCAGGCGGTTTCTTGAAAGCCTCAGCGCAAATGACTGCATTGGGAAGCCGTCTGAATTCTTGTGAGTTCTACTATTCGTCAATATACTGGAAGAAACCATTGCACGTGACGCAATTCTGCTGACCCAATGCTGCTTTCTTTGTTGCCAAGCTGCTGGACCTTTTGGAGCGAAATAAGTTTTCCAAAGGACTCTGGGAGAGACTCGAGCTTGTTCTCTGCTAGGGAGAGCTCCTCAAAAGCCAGGAATGCCCATTCCATGTGGTCTGCCGTTGCCCAACTGATGCAAAACAACCTTTAAGATGCATCGAGGTGGTTGAGTGAGGCGGGTTTGAAAATGCTGTCCTCAAGACCCTGCAATCTTCCGAAAGATTCAGGAAGTTGAACAAGCTCATTGGCATTCCTGACTAGTTGTCAAATGTCTGGTCCATGATTGAAAACACGGCTCAGTTTCCGACTCCACACCACAAATGTCACAAATGCGTTGACAGTGTGACCATAAATTGTTGCAGTCGAGCTACAAAAAACACAATCTCAAGGACGCTAGGTTGCCTCTGTGCGGAACAGGTACAGAGACAACTAACCATAAACCAAGATTGCATGTTTAAAGTAGTTTGAAGGTAGTGTTCAAGGTTCAAGGCTCAAGGTGCCAAAGCTTGAAGGAAGATGCTGCAGTCGGTTTCCATTGGCCACCAGCTCCTTCAGCGAGCACAGGCGGCCGAGGTCTTCAGGAAAAGTCCTGAAATTCTGCGTGGGTTGGATGCTTCTCACTCCCAGCACTCCACTTCTAGCCCTCAAGTCCACTCAAGTTCACTCAAGTCCTCAATTGATTCCGCGCAACATCAAAAAATTCCAGGTTCCGCAAATCTGCAAAGCCTGAGTCAAGAACCCCAGACAAAAGTCGTTCCCCGGGAACTGCTCCTGTTGTCGAGGTCTGTCTGAGCCCATGGCTTGAAGGCAGAAACTCCAGCAGGCAACCGGTTGCCTCCAATGCTTTAAACAGAAAAATGTCACTCCTGGCACAGCATGGTGATGCTTGTGATCTTCAGCAAACACGCGGGACGTTCAAAATCTGCTAGGCACGTCCAGCCTGCAAGCGGCGCAATCCCTGAAGCTGACCGAAATCTTCTGGTAATGGCCGCAGGGGGTTTCCATGGCATTGCAGCTCCTTCCAAGCAGCAAACCGTCTGGACCTGGAACAGCCTAGCATGACATGCCACTGTGGGCCCATGTAGGACAATCGGGGTTACGCTGAGGAATGTCCAAAAGTACAGCGCAGAAAAAAGAACAAAAAAGCACCACACACCATCAACGGTCACATTTTAACGCTACTGCACAAAAGTCGGACACTTCGTCCATCCATCTGCTCCCAGCCAAAACCTTCCCCCAATGAGAGGCCATGGGGATCAGGTTGCGCATGCTCGCAGACGCTTGCGGAGGATTGCGACGGCTTTCAAACGCTGAGGCAACATCGAGCAAACACAGCCTCAACCCCAAAGCCCCAACGAACCATTCGCTATATATTCGGGAAAGACACAAACCAAGGCAACGCCCCGTAGCACCTGTTCAACCTGAATGCCTCGGGTCCGCAAACAGTTGAAATTCCTATTCAATTTGCATCTATAAAATCGACATGCAAAAAACTGGAGCCTGTCCTTCAGCATCTTCAGGGTACCAACGCTCTGAAGCTTCGACAGGCGGTTACCTGAGCTTTTCTCCACTGCAGCCACTATGACAACAGAAAGCTGCAAGCATGTCAAAACGATTGAAAAGACTTCCTGACCAGGGCCGGGACCAGCAAGACGTAGTTCTTCCAGACCATTTACCGCAAGGTCAAGGGTTCGCAAAAGGTTCCTTGAAAGTCCAAGAACCTCGGCTCAATAAGCACACAAGGCCATGGGACAATTTGCAACTAGAGCCGACCAGGGGCAAGGTGAAGCCAATCCAACTACGTATATAGATCCAATACCCGATGGCATAGCCTATCGTATCTTCATTGCAACGGTTTTTGCACGATTGCACGGTTGCCATGACACTCGCAGTCGTGGACAGTCAGCTTGAGCACTGGGAAATTCTCCAAGTTGATTTGAATCCACCTCCAGAACTTCCAAGCAAAGCAGCTCCCCCAGCCTCTCCTTGACGTAAGCAGGCCAATCAAAGGACACGGCACGACAACAGTAGCAACATGTAGCAACATTATACAGTGAGAAACAACAGTGCAAAAGAGTCTCAGGCAACGAGTGAAGGCGGTTCTCGACTAAGTGAAGCAACCTGGCACAACAACATCCGAGCTGGCCAGCGAGTGCATCGAACACAAACAGGCCGGTGGCACCTCAGCTGCTCCAGCTTCTGGACATCCTGCCGTGGGATTCAAGTAGATTCTAGTCGCCGGGCAAAAGTCTTTTGCTCCTTCGGAAGCGTAGCCAGCTGGCAGGCAGAGATTGTGACTTCTTGCAGGCTGGAAAGCTCGACAAATGATGGCCTCGGCGACTCGGCACCAAGCAGCACATGCAAAAACTAGGTGCCGCACAGTTCGGAGCCAAGATGCGGCAATTCAGAGATGTTGCAATGCATGATAACCTCGGCAACTCCGAATTGAACACTTGCCGAATCTTGAAAAGATTTGAAAACCAACGGAATGAAGCCCACGAACCCGAATGCAACCCAATGTGAATATCGCAGACTGTGGCACTCTTACAGGACACTTTTGTGGAACGCTCTTCCATAACATGTTTGCGCGACACTCTTGTAGGACACTGTGTCTTGAACGTCTCTTGTGTGACACCTTTTTGTGTGACACTGTTCTAGGAAACTCTTGTAAGGCACTCGGGCTTGACACTTTTATGCGAGACTCTTGATCCTGTGCGGGGCTCTTGTAGCAGGACCCTTGCGTGACACTTCACTTGTGGGAGGTACTGTTGCTCGACACTCTCCTCGCAGCACATTTGTACTACAAGCGGCCCACTTCTGAGCTTGAGCTCCAAAAGTGAGATGGGAAGTCTCCAAAACGAGCGCTTGGTACGAGACTCCCTCCAAAAGTGATGCCAAGACTTCAAAACCAGCATGTCGCACGACAGTCAAGAGTGAAGCAGGAAGTCTCATCAGATCGAACCTGCCAAGCAGCTTCGCCATCCAAGCCCCTCCCAAAAGATTCCACTGACACGTCTAACGGAACAGCGACACCTCATGATTCTCTGCGACTGACTCACCCAACATGACAACTTGAGCCCAGAGCCGTCATGAAAATACGGCTTCAATGCAAACCCTTCAAGAGCAAAGCCTAATGGCACAGTGAAGTGACCACCCTGGGGACGCCAATTCAATGGCACAGCAACGCACACAGTCAACCTCACGAAACACTGCACCTGTGCAGTAAGAACAGACCTCACACTTGGGAAGTCACGTTTCTCCGCAATGTCACACGAATCTGACATGTCATGCTCCAGATTGTCCAAGACCTTCTCAGAAAGCCTTCCCCATATTTGGGAGGGCGATACGGAAATACAGAGATCATGCAATCGCCAGCGGCTAGCTAAACGAGAAACCGTCCCTACACATTCAAGAATCATAGGAATTTGGGCCTCTGGCCAAACGTTCCATTGCTGAAAGGAGGCCAAAGCTATCCTTGATTGCTGCGAGCATGGCCATTCAGCAGGATGAAAATGGCAATGCATGAGCTTCAAACAAGTGGCTGGTAAACTCCGGAGCTGCAACGATGTCAATTGCAATGACTTTAAGCGGCTGCATGTGAGCCCGAAACGCTCCGGCAATACCTTGAGCCCTTTGTGAGAAATGTTCAATTCCTTGGCCAAGCATGCTGGAACCATTGACAAGGCAGGTCAATAGGCAGGTCAATCTCGTGTTACTTGTTGCGGCTGTGTTGCTGCACATCCCTGCAGCTCATCAAAGCTTGCCACTCCAGCATATTTGGCGAAACGAGTTTCCAGCGCATCAGGTAATATGCAAACCTTGTGGCACAGAGGCTTGAGATCTCAGTGGTCAAAAAGATAACATTGATAAAAAGCGTGGTTGCATGTGTTTGCCCCTTTACTGCCTTTACACTCTAAGCCCGCTGCAGACACATCTTCGAGTCCCAAGGCAGCGATTGGCACCGCATCTTCCAAGAAAGAGTCTGGACCCAGAAGCTGCAAGCCTTGCATGCAATAATTCTACAGCAGAAGGAAGATGGAAACATAAAACACTGAACGGGACAAAGCTTCCGGTTGGGCCCAAGGCTTAAGGCTAATGACTAATTACTACACTTGCCCTTTTCAGAAGATGGAGTTGAAGGTAAGGGTCTCTTTAGTAAGGCCTTGCCTTCTTATAAGGGCCCTTGCTGTACGTTATTTTCTTTACTTTTTCTAGATTCTATAGTCAAGGAACGGCCGTGCGGAACACTCAGCGTCTCCGCCAGAAATCGTTTCACATCACCAACACGAGCATCGCTCAGCTTGCTGGAGACAGGGATGGCCTGCACGCGAGCGTCACATGAGTTGTGGCGGACGGATTTCCTTGAAGTGTCCGCGAATGCATGTCTCTGAGATATGCCCCCCCCACCCCCCAAAAGTATATGGGAATCCTAGAGGCCAATGGACGAAATGCCCAGGACGGGAGGCCCACCAATGCCCTCCTTTGCTGTTCCCGTCCTTCCCACTTAGGAGACGGAAGGCCGGCAACACCATGGCGATGCTGCACAATCATCTTACTCAAACAATCGTTGGCATCTTTGTCCCTCGGTCTTCGCTCCCTTCGCCAAACCAACAGGACGGAGCCGTGGAGTTTGCCATTTTGTGCTTTTATGATGTTTATGATAATGATTCTGTTTGCTAAAGAATCAGTAAGTAGTTATAAAATTCTTAGGGATGTTTCTGTCGCCCTTATGTGTGTTTTGCATTGTCAGGCATGAAATGGCAGCAAGATGCGGCAAGCATATGGCACCCATGGCAAGGTGGCAAACTCGTGTCACTTCCAAGGTCGGCACGTTGCCTGACCAAAATCTCATGTTGCTCCTGGCTTCGCTCCGCTTGGCTGGTTGACATGTTCACGCACAACTTGCAGTCCGTTTTATGATTACAGCCTGCTTGACGGTGACTGGAGGAGATGCCAACATCACCTTTGCAAAAGGTGGTTGCATGGCCCCACCCAAGCTGACAAGCTTCAGTATTTCGCAACGGCCTTGCGGTGCAAATGGACATGCTGATGCCGAGCTCGCTCCCACTCCTGCTGCCAAACAATCCTCATCACTAGAAGTTTGCTTGAACCTTCTTGCAAGCCCCTGCGCCTCGTCAACGATTTCAGCTCGTTTGGAGAGGTAGATTGGAACACCTGTGACTCACCATCACAAAATGCACCACAAAGCACTTCATGTGGATGAGCACGACGCAGCAAAAGTGAGTTGCATGTGTTGTGTGGAGCTCTCGCAGCCCTGTTTGCCTCGAGGCACGTAGATGAGCTCAAAGGGTTGCAGCTCGCCGCTCATCTGGCAGCTCCGCTTTAACCATGTATCCTGAAGAAAAGATTTGGATCAGAAAAGCAGCAGCCCTGCATCTCAAGGTGCCGAAAACATCTCAAACACCAAATCACCATCCTCCATAGGGATAATGGTCAGGCCACGGTCCTAGCAAATTCGACAATGGTTGGCACAGCTAGTCACACAGGATAAGACATTCAATGTATTGGCCTTTTCTTTTACGGACGTGGCCCTGCCTCCTTACTTACACAATTAAGTAAGTGCGACTAGTTAGCTTCTAGCAACTGGACACAGGATGGCTCACGCTTCTTCAAGGAAGCTCCCCCTAGGGCGGGGGGAGCTTTCTTGAAGAAGCGCTCGCACTAATGATTTGGTTCCTAGATCCTTCTTTTTGAAACTTGCCGTTTCGATCGTCGCAAGGGAAGTGACCTTCTGGGGCTTCGCCCACAGAACTGCCGAGAGATGCTAGAAAAGTTGAGCGCACACGCGCATCAGAGCTGTGCCTGTCACTGTTTTTCAATGTGGAATGACCAAGGGCCGAGCTTGGAGTAGCAGGAAGGTACAACCGACGTTGAAAGTTGAAAACAAGCCTGCTGGAGCGTGACAAACACGCGCCAGACAGTCTGTTGGCAGTTGGGTCGCGGACATACTGCCCGGGATTTAAACGCCGACAGCACATCAGACAACAACTGCGCATCAGCAAGGTGAGGCTGAGTTTTTGGGTGTCTGGCAGGGAAACACTAAGGATCTGACAGTGTGGGAAGTGGATTGCACATTTGTGATATGCTTGCCCTGCAGTGCAGCTGCCTAAATCGCAAAACTCCATTTCCTCCGACCTGCTCTTCAGGTGGAACAGCGCTAAGCTTCTGGACAAACGCCCGAAATTCTACTTCAAGAGGCCATCGCCACTGATCCAGACATCAAAGACCGGCAATAGAACAACCCAAAAGAAGTTTCTGCCCTTGACATGCTCAAGGAACGGGGGTCACGAAGCAAGATCAACCGGCGACTCGGTCACAAGCATCAAGTCAGCCGTGCCTGACTTGGCTTTGAAAACAATTGAATTGAAACTATTTCTTCCACTCATTGCCGTCATCCAAACCCAAAGCATTGCCCGTTCAAGAGCTAGATGCCTGAGACCAGGCATCAGAAGCAAGCGAAGCAAGCGCAACAAGCAATTGACTGATCAAGAAACATCAACAGTGTCGTCAAAGTCAACCACCGCCGCTCCCATCAACCCTTGCTCTTGGCAGCAACAACATGCTTTTCAGCGGCAAGAAGCTGATGATCTCGGTGAAGAACCAGCATCTGGAAAAGGCCGGACAACTCCAAAGTAGCGGTCATACACGAGAGCGTTCCTAGGAAGGGAGAAACTGGGTGGTTGTGGCATCAGGCCTCCATTGCTTTTTTGCCCGTGGCCTGCACCTACTTAATTAAGGGCTAAGTGAGCTCCTAGTAACTGGACGCAGGATAGGAAGCTCCCCTGCCTGAGGGCGGGGGGGAGCTTCATTTTTTGCTCTCAAGCCGCATCACGGAGTCGTCGGCAACTGCTAAGCTTCCGCAGTAGCAGTCTAGGAACCCTAAAAGATCACAAAAGTGCATCAAATGGAATGCACCAAGAGTGTGGGGTTTCTTTGGCCCCACGCATGAAAGCTCGGCATAGCCTTTCTAAAGTGGCATTATCTAGGTATGCCTCCGCACCCAAAAATGTTCCTTTTGGAAAGGTGCGGCCGTTGCTTTTGTTTCTTTTACCGAGTAGTAGCGGAGCAACGACAATGTTTTTGTTCTTGCAGTACGAAATGGAGGCTCGAATGATGCTGGCATAAGCCTGTGGTGTCGACAGCGCTCCTGATGGGAGACGAAAACGCCACCCCTGCTTGAAGGCGAACACTGCCAACTCGAAGACTGAACATGCCCTCTTTTCGCCACGGGTACCGGTTGAGCTGTACCGATCCGTCAGTCCAAACATGCGCAACTCCAGCAAGTGGCTCCTGCCATGGGTTCACCTGAATGTCCGAGGTTTTAGAAACAATCAGCTTACGTCGAATGTTATCCAGAGAAACTTCAGCAATTCCCAGCATTTCAAAGTTTGGCCCAAAGTTTGTAGTGGAGAAAGGCTGGACAAGCTCCTCTGGCAACTGTGTGCGCTCGTCAACGAAGTGTTGCATGGATTCTTTAGGTGCATCACAGAACCTGCAATTCATCTTGACTTGAGTAAGGATGGTAGGGAACTCGGCATTCCCTGCTTCGATGTCATTGAAGAGGGAGGCCACAGGCTTGAAGGCAGACGGTGGAAGTGCCTGTACTTCAGGAGTGGTCCACCCATCAAGTCCTGCTGCTGCATCTGGACGACGGCGAGAAGCTTGTTCCCACAACTGTAACTCTGTGACAGGTGGTAATGCAACTTTCTGACCCTTGTCATGAATGTAAGGCCAGACCTGCTTCAGAATTTGCATGTCATGTAGGTGGCTTGCATTGACCGAAAAGACACTGTCCCATTTGCCCGCAATGTGATCCATTGCGCACTGCGGGTCATAGATAATGTTACCCACATCGTCTTCAACAAGGTTGGGCGGGACGATTCGTCTTTTCCGCTTCAAGTACTGGTAGACAATCTTGCCAATGGAGAGTGAGGTGGTGGCCTGTTTCATGGCCTCTCGCCATTTCTTGATGGCCGCTATCTTCATCTGCTTAAGTTCAGCATTGATTGCCGCCAGTGTGACCTCTGTCAGACGCTGCAGGTCATGGCAAAAAATCTGATTCACAGAAAGAGGAACAATGCGTGCCTCTTTCAATCTACGCAGCACACGGCGTTGTGTATTGTGAAAAGTCCGAGAGTCACCATCTCCTGTCGTCGATCGTGCAAACCTGTAAGACAGCTCTCTTAGCGACCTCAAACATGCTTGAAGTAGGAGAAGAAGCGGTGAAGCAGGGTTACCAGCACCTTCCTGAGCCACACAATAGCTGAGCTTCCGGAACTTGGGGAGTGTGCCCCGTTGGCGAGGTCCTTTTGTCCACGTAGCACCATTGAGCAACAGGAGCTTAATCGCATAGTCATTGGATCTCCCATTTCATATTGGCATTGGTCGAACTGTCAAAATTTTGCTGATAAGTGCACCAAAGTTCTTCTCCAAGAAGGTTCACTGGGCATGCAGGATCCCCTGTGTTGGAAATATCAACCCATTCCAGATTGAGCTTAGCAAAGTTTTGCAGGACCGTTCCAACTTGTTGGATTCTTGTCCAAGCAAAATGTGCTTGGACTGGCCTATGCTGTCGATCAGGATGATCTAGAACTTCAATCTTCACCAAAGCAGTCAGGGCTGTGCGATTCATTAAAATGCCATCGATGGATGACTGGCCTTCACCATCCTCTGTAGCAGCACATTGAAAGAACGTTGAAGGTCGGAAAAGCTCACCACCGTCATCAGTTTGGAGCAGCGGGTCAGCCCACCCCCATTTGTCTAGAGCAAGCTGGACTGCTGGATACATGCCAGGCTCCATCTGAAAATCTCCAGCAATAACGATCGGAATGTCGCCGAACTGCGCCGCCACCATGAAAAGCTGGTTGAGCATCTCATTGTTTCTTTCAAACTTGGCTCTCTCCGAGGCAGCATTTGCAATGGCATAAAAATTGAAAGCAAGAAGCTTGACACTACTGGACACTTGATGCCAAGTAGCTGTAACGCGGGCAGAACTCCGAAGCAGCTCCCATGAACCTGACAAATTCTGCTTCTGATCAAAAATTTGGGTGAACTCCTTGCGGGCGCACGTGGCGGTGCCACCTGAGGGAATTCTGAAGGTCCCGTTGCTTGCCCGAAGTTTCTGCAGTGGTTGGGAACAATAGAGCTCAAAATTGCAGAGCGCTGCTTTCCGTTTGGCGTCCAGCATGTTGGAATCCGCGATTCTTGCTTCTTGAAGCAGGAAAACGTCAGCATCCCATTGCAAACAACTTGCATTCGTAGCAAAAGAGTCAACATTTGCCGAAATCATGGACCAATGAGGGCCTTCACCCGGAAATCCCAGAGTTTTGTCAAACCAAGCAGGCTGCCAGTGTTGGGCTAGGCCGGAGGAAATCAATCTAACATCAGTCTGACACCAAGTGTGTTCCCAGTCGTACTGATCAAGAACTTGGTATACACGCAAATAAGAGCTTCCAAGAACAAAATTCTGAATTCGCAAAACCAAGGGGCAAGATGGAGAGGCCCTCTCCTTCACCAAGTGGTGGGAGCACAGCATCATCAAGACCCAAGTGACATGAAGGGTCATGCAAAGAACCCTGCTAGCATGAGGATGTTGTACATCACCCCTCTCAAAGTAGCATTGGAGGACAAAGGTGGCCGGACCACCAAGGCTGAAAGCAATCGTCCCACAATTCCCCATGTGGGCGGACACGTTGTAGGTAGTCCCACAAAGTAAAACCCATAGAAAAAACTGGCAGTATAACCGCAAACGCAGGACGTTCGAACCAAAAGCTCAAAGGAATCGTCCCAAGAAGCAGTGATACATGAATACCAGCACAAATCCCCTGGACCTGGAAGTAGGCCCACCATATTGTAGGGCAAAGGGAAAGGAAGCATCGTTCTTCCCCTCGCCCCTTCTTGACACTCTTCGTTGTTTGTCAAGCCGCCCTATGATGCTTCACAGGTGGCGGGGTTTCACCATGCTCGCGCTGTCGCGGCTGGACGCACTGCAAAATCTGCCTCAGCTGGTCTCCGACGTGCGCGAACTGGTTGTCAACCTTCTCACTGAGGTGCTCATGCTTTTGCTCAAGTCGTCCAACCTGCTCTTCAAGCCGGTCAATGCGTTCATGATGAATGTCTTTGGACACGACTGTGCGAGGCTGAGTATTCTCTTGTCCACCAGCTTGGGGGCTCTTGGACGTTTTGCCCTTTCCTTTCGAAGGAGGTTTGTAGGCGATTGGAGTGAGCAGCACCTCGAAGGTTTTCTCATTGACCTGCACTGAGAATTTGGAAACCGTAGGCGGCTTCTCGAAGGACAAGGTCCAGGCACAAACGCCCGCTCTCCGAAAGGACCTGGTTGGAATGCACGGTGTTTTGGTCGCCTGATAAACCGCGGAAACAATGTCCTTGGCAAGGATCTCATAAGGCCAACCCAAGCTGTCCATGTTGATCTTTGGGATCATAGCT